CAATGGGTCATTACGAGTTTTTGAGGATGCCTTTTGGGTTGACAAATGCACCTTCTGTTTTTCAACGACTCATTAACACCGTACTTAAAGGCTTTTTTAATAAGGTTGTGTATGCATATCTGGACGATCTTGTAATTCCAGCACATAATGTCGAAGAAGGGTTATCTAGACTGAGAATTGTATTGGATGCTTTAAGGCAAGGATATCTGACGCTAAAGATAAACAAATGTAGATTTTTTCAATCAAACATAACATACCAACAAGCAGTATTTTGATAATTACGAGCTACATGACGATAAGCTGTACAGAAAAGTTGAAGACAAATCGCTATGGGTGGTTCCCAAGTCATCTCGTTGGCAAATATGCAAACTGTGTCATGATGAAGGAGGACATTTTGGGGTAGGAAAAAACTTACACAAAATATTTGAACACTATTGGTTTCCACAAGCTCGACGATTTGTTAAGAAGTATGTTGAGTCCTGCCTCTCCTGTGCTTGTGTGGACCATCTTGGACCGTTCGTGACCAGCAAGAAAAACAACATCTAAAATTGCAAATTGCTTGTCATCGATGCGAAGTAGGTTTCTGGAACCAGGAAATTGCAACCAAAAGAAAAGAATGTCACAGGGCAAGAAGAAACTATACTAAGGCAAGAAGAACTTTAGAGGCCCACTCGGTCGAAGAGTGTAAGGCGGTGCCGCAAAATACAAAAAGGGAGCTAAAGAAACCTATAAATAAAAGCAAAAGGAAAAAGTAAAAAGATCTCTGTAACGACCTTGACACGGATATATGGGGCAAGGCCTATCAAATAGTCACTAAGAAACTGAAGGTCAGGAATCGAAACCTCATAAGGGAGGAGACTACAGCACAGCAGATACATAAACTTTCCCCAAAGCACCCAAGGATAAATGGATTAGAGAGACCACCAATAAGGACAACATCCCTCTTTTTAACATCGAGGAGTGGAAACGGCAAGGAAACAAATTAAAACAAAAAAAGCTCCAGGCCCCGATGGGGTGCTGCCTGAGATAATGGTGGAGATAGTCAAAGCCAACGACAAAGCCGTACTAGATACCTTTAACGACTGTCTGGTAAATAGCAAATTCCCAGAAATATGGAAAACAGCGAAACTGGTACTGGTCGAGGAACCCAGAAAAACCGTAACTGCGCAGGAATTTTACAGACCCATATGTCTTATAAATAGCTTTGGAAAACTGCTGGAAATCATGATCAAAAATAGACTGACCAACGAAATAAAAGACAAAAACCTGGTACAGCCTAATCAGTTCGGCTTCACAAAGGGCAAATCGACGATAAATGCAATACAGGAAGTAATAAACGTCAGACAGTTTAAAATCCAAAGCCCTAAAAAATCAGGAATATTGTATTAGGGTACTTCTAGATATTGAAAATGCCTTCAACTCGGCACCATGGGTAGAAATTATAGAGGCACTGCAAACAGGCAAAGTTGAGGGATATCTGACCTCGAGGGCAGAGACCTAATAACACAAAGAGGAGACAAACATGAGGTGACCTGCGGCGTACCACAGGGCTCAGTCCTAGAACCCACCCTGTGGAATATTTTCTATGACAGGGTGCTACGGACGGAGATGGGGCAAAGTATGCAGCTGATAGCGTATGCGGACGATCTGGCCATAATAACTAAAGCGGCAAATCAACAACTTCTGCAAGACAAAGCCCAACACGCCACGAATAAAATAATAGACACCCTTAAGGAAATGGGTATCAAAGTAGCGGCACACAAAACAGAAACACTTCTAGTGGAAGGAAGGAAAAAAGTGCAACAGGTTGCCATACAAGTTGAGCAAAACACCATCAACACCAGCACCTCCGTCTGATATCTAGGGGTGCTTCTGGACAAGGACCTACGTATGGTAGAACACATACACGGCTAAGGCAACAGAAATGACTAATCTGCTCAGCAGAATCATGCCAAATATAGGGGGCCCGAAGGCAAACAAAAGAAAAATAATTAAAAACTCGGTACTATCGGCTGTGCTATACGTAGCTCCGATATGGGAGCCCGCCCTAAGACACAAGAAGTACCTTAACAAACTCGAAAGCATAAACAGGAAATTAGCAATCAGAGTAATATCAGCAAATAGAACGACATCCACCCAGGCTGCCCTGGCCATTGCTGGAATTCCGCCCATAGGTCTGGCAGTCAAAGAAAGGAGCCACATATATAGAGAAGCAACAGCGGCCCGCGAAACAACGTACGAGGAATGGCAGACAACGTGGAACCGGTACAACGGCTGGGCGGGGACCTTCATTAAGGACATAACAAGGTGGACAACCCGGAACATACCATCTTTAAGTGCCACCGGTTCGCAGATATTAGAAGAAGAGCTGAAGACAAATGTGGTTGTGAGCTAACAAAAACAACATAGCCGAAGTCCTGCTAGACAGCGAAGAAAAGTGGAAAAATGTTGAGGAAATGGGTTTAGCCGGTACGAGTCCATGCGATAGAACAACAGCGTCGGGTGTACATGAAGGATTTCCCCCACCAACTACCCTTAGAATTTAGTTTTGTAAAAGTGTGATCATTAGTTTTAAGTCGCAATAACATCGTCAACCGAGACGGACACGCAGCATCTTGCGTGCCGATTGTAACTTCAGTTTATTTCTTTGTATATTATAAACAAATATACGATTCTGTTTTAATAAGTTACACCCTAACTTGTTATTTCACACCAATCATCCTAATTTCCCACACGCAAATTAGGAAACAAGTTTCAACGTTTCGTATCCAGAATTTACCGCGACGCGAGTGTTGAAATTTAAACATATGAACATACAAATCCTTTAAATAAACGTGGGAAAGGGAATAGCAGCTACAAACATTATAAAAGTAAATTGTTTGCGTTGGGGAGTGAATGTGGTATGCTTGCAAGATCCTTATTGGAAGCGAGGCGTAGAAGGGATGAAGGTGTAAGAATGTGGGTAAGGGAGCAAGTGAGATATATTGAAAGGGTAGAGTTTAGTAGCGGCAATTCTGTAAAGGCCTTACAGGAAAGGTAATCAATAAGGTTTTTCTGATAAATATTTACGACGAGCCAGGGGGCAATGAGAATAAAAGGCTATAATGCCTGATAAACCTATTTGATAACTACAGAGGTAGGTAGGGGACGTTACGGAAGCTAAAGGTCAGAAAATTCTGGACTGGGTAATACAGAAAGTATAGGAGATAATAAACAACAATAAGAGTATCCAACCTTTGATTGCAGCAGGGGAAGAAGCTGGGTGGATATCGGGGTAGTCGTAGAGGATTGTAAATATATGTAGAAATAGCATGGTGAAACAATGGGCTGGACAGATGGAGAAAAAAGACAAGAAAATCAAGGCTGGCCGCAACTAGAGATGTGTCGGTCAGATCTGAACCGGGTCAGTGAACCGGGTCTTATAAGTGATCTACGTGAACCGGTTCACGAAAATTAAATGAACCGGCTCACGGGTCCGAAATTACAAAACAGAGAACTGTGTTTGGCTAGCGGCCGCGCGCAAGCCATTCTAAGCTTCGATTCACTGCTTCACCACTCGCTATGCTGCTGCAGTGCATTGCACAGGCCGCGCATGGCGAGCCGCTCGAGCCGTGAGCGGCGGGTCGCGAGAGATCTGAACCGGCTCCCTGGAGCTAAGAACGACTCGCGCTCGCAGAACGTTTTGTTTTCTGTGATCCAGATCTGACCAAAACATCTCGATTCTCTATGCGCAGTATGAGATGATTTCCCTTATGACAATGTCGTTTAAAATATATTTTTATATTTATTAATTTAAATTGTGTAAACTTACAAAATTTATGTTTTAAATATAACTTTTCATGTAAAATATTAAAATAATAGAGTTTTTATTGTTTTATAAAATTTTAATAAAAGAAATAGTATGGTATAACAAAACTTTAATAAAATAACTAGTATATTCCTTGTAATAAAAAGTTAAATATAACAAAACTTTAATAAAATAAATAGTATTTTGCTTAATATGTCTACATTATTCTATCGATGAGAAGCTTGCCATCGGGTACCTGATCCTGGAGGATACTACTGGTTGTGGACTCCTCTGTATGTTTGGAATCTTACTACAGTGCACTGGGACTTAGATAAGTACATTTTAGTTTCATTTTTTATATCGGTTGATTTTGTAAACACCTACACTTGGTTCCTTGAACCAAATGCCCCTCAGGCATTAAATCTTTTTAACGTAAAACATTGTAACATTGTTCTACTCCTTTTGGAGAGGGGTCCCTCAGGCCCTGTACCATTTTACTTGATCTAAGGATATTTGTTTTGTAAACCCTACGTGATCACAAACGGGTAGGTTAGTTGTATCTTAACCTCTACGGGGAAACATTGCGGATTTAATAAACAAAGATTAACTGTTTTTCGTGATTTTTACTAAGGCGTGATCACAAACGGGTAGGTTAGTTGTATCGTAACCTCTACGAGGAAACATAGAACATAGCGGATTTAATAAACCAAGATTAACTGTTTTTCGTGATTTTTATTAAGGTCCAAACAGTTAATAAGGCAGAACGTATTCTAGGAGTAAAATCACGTGGCGTCCAGGTATTTGAAACTAAAACTCACCCCAGCTCACCGCTGAGTAGGGCATACTCCCCGGATACCTTTTGGTTTATTAAAAAGCTACCTGGCACAGGGTAAACCTGTCACAAATAATAAAAATAAAATGAACTTTAATAAAATAAATAGTATTTTAATAATAATTAATAAAATAAATAGTATTTTGCTTAATAATAAAAATAAAATAAAATAAATATCACAAAGATTAGGTCTAAACTTTTTAGAAAAGTGTAAAAAATCATTTTCGCCTTACCTACATATTACAATGTAAAAAAACTATTTTACTTGTTTTTGATGTGGTAAGGCGACTTCTTCTCTCGGAAACAATCTGTCCCATTTTGGAAAATATCCTCTCGCAAGGAACAGAAGTCGCCAGAATGCAAAGCCTTTTTTGCATTAAATTATATAGACGCGGACACACCGCTTTTCTTTGTTTCCAATATATATGTTTCGAACTCTATAATTCCAGCAGCCGTGGGATTTGAAACTGACTGAAATGTATTAAATTTCTCATCAAAATTTCCCCAAAGTAACGAACTGTACGCCAATGAAACAGCTGCAGTGTTCAAATTTGTCGTTAATGCCTCTTCATCTTTACAACAGGCCTCCATTTTCTTTGGTGTAGAGAATCCCAGTTTTTTTATCCTGGGGTCCAGCAAAGTACACTGAGTTATTAACTCATTATCCTCTATAGAGTCTATATGTTTAAATCGTTCGGTGATTTGATCCTTAAGAGTTTTAACCAATGATTTAGTAACCGCAGATAAGGATGTGTCGCTAGAAACTTTGTTAATAGGATTGTGCAAGGCTTTAACGAACACAATTTCCTTGGATAAAGATACGTTTTTTTCTGCACATATTTCTTCAGTTACGTCATTAAACACTTGTGGACAACACAGCATCTTTAATTTTTTAGCATTCTTTTTATCATTTCATAAGTTGAATTCCATCTTGTAATCACATCTAGTTTTAATTTTAGCTCAGGCAATTGTAAATTTTTTTGTGATTCTTGCAACTTTGCTTGGGCACTAGAACTTCGCTTAAAGAATTACACAATTCTGCGAATTTTACATAAAATTTCAACAAAACCTTCCGTTTTAATGCCTTTTTGCACAATTAAATTTACAGTATGTGCGAAGCAACCTAAATGTCTCCAACCACCAATACGTACTGCTGCTACTATATTGACTGCGTTATCACTAACAATTGCAGTAATATTATCCTCAATTTTCCACTCTTTAAATGTCTGACAAAGACGAGTTTCTAAATTTTGGGCGCTATGACGTTCATTGAAACATTCACAAGCTATTAAATTCGAACACATTTCTGTTTTCTCGTTAAGCCAATGAACCGTAATGGCTACAAAATTATCATTATTAATGGAGGTCCATGAATCTGTCGTTACGAATACAGCAAGGGCAGTTTTAATTTCACTTTGCACTTTTTCTTTAAGAATATCATAATATTGTGGTATTAAACTTGTAGACAATATTTTCCGAGACGGTAGCTTATAATTTGGGCATAGTAAGTCCAAAAAATTTGTAAATTCCGGATCTCCCACAGTGCTAAATGGATAGTACTCTTTTACCATCATTATTATTAATTGTTGATCAATTTGTTTAGTTTTAGAAATAGATGAAGGTCGTTGCTTTAATTCTATTATCTTACTTTGTTTTGCAGTAGGATTTCTTAACCTTGCAGATGTTGAAGTTATCGGTTGACTACTTTTACAGGCCGTCGATGTTGAAGGCTGGCTTAATTCAGTATCAGGTAGAATTTGATTTGAGTACCTGTTTAAAATAAATTATTAACCCTTAAAAACACTAAATAGAATAAATAATACCTATATGTTTGAGTCTCATATGGCGACCTAAGTTGCCAGTAGAACCTTTGCTTATACTGACTTGAGCAGAACAGTGTAAACATTTAGCTTTTCCATTAGGTAGTAAATTGAAATGATTCCACACCTCACTTCTTTTTCTTGAAAACAATATTATAATAAACTAGCTATTATTCTTAAAATAAAACGAAAACTGCGATTTTCTCTGGCAGGGACTGAACACGTGGTACGCTAGAATAATAGCAATAGGTCTGCGCACAATTTGCGCTCCATATGGTCGACGACTCTTAATATTGTTCACACGAGGACCGAAGGGATCATTAGGCAGGCAGCAGCGATAGAGTACACCTCACTGTATTATATTATTATTTTATAATGTGTAATGTATATTTTTAAAATTACCACTATACTATTTAATGCAATACAATGTAATATTTAATAGCCTTTATAATATTATTAAAATAACAATTTGTATTGCCTTATAATTTAATAAAGGCTCTTAAGTATTAAAGTGATAAACATTTTTACCATAAACTTAAAGTTTATGTGCTCCGAATGATTTTATTAAGTGTTATTTTTAATTAGCCTGAGATTCAAACAGTTCTTTTGAACCGGTTCGCTAAACCGGTTCACTTATATGATCCAGATCTAGTCATCCGGTTCAAAAAAGTGACCCGGAACGCCATCAAAAGAGCATAAAAAGGACACAAACGCAATTGAAGCAGAGAGCAGCGACCTAGTGCGAATTTTTGCTAGCTCGATGTTTTCTTTTTACACTCGCCAACTTTTTTCTTCGGAGCGAAAAAGGCACATTTTTAGTGGCCCGAAGGTTCCGTTACTTTATCACAACCGAGAGTTAAAACGATGTCTGGGTTTGGCAAATCCAGGGGATCAATGACCCCAAGGGACCAAGACAAGGACGTATATAAAACGTTATAGTGTAGGCCTGATAATTGCTGGACTGTTAGTCCGAGTAAGAGTCGGGGGGGGGGGGCGGAGTTGAAAATTTTTGTAAATAATAAGAAATTTGAAATTAAAGTTATTCCATTTTTTTATTATTTTCTGCATTGTACAAGTAATAAACATAAACATAACACAACATTTAACTTTTTATAAAACAAAATCAAGTTTTCGACTTTTCTTTTTTGCAAACCTTTCCAAAATGTTATTAGTCTCTAAATCTATATCTTTATGGATATGCAAAAGTGCGAGCCCATTCTTGTACGCAGCCATGTTTTTAAACGCCGTAAAGCTTCTTTAAGCAGTAGCGACACTGACTGGAAGATTTTTAAAAGCAACCGAATATTAGGATACATATACTCATTGCATTTTTTCAGCACTTCTACAGCAGACTTGGGTATGGAGACTTTTTTATTGTTATTACTTTTTCAGTGCTCTTTCCATACTTGGTACTCGCCAACTAAATTTGATACTTGATTTCCAAGAACAGATTCATACTGAACACCAAGTGACTTAATACGTTGAAAAACTTCTTTTTCAACGCTGTTTTCTTCACTGAAGGTATTAGCAAATTCAAATAAAATACTTTCAATGTGTCTTTCGGCAAACGTTCTTGAAGATCAAGTATCACATAATCAAGTAATGAAATGAAAATTGCCTTGCGGTAATATTCCTCAGCAGTGACAGAAGAATAATTTGCACGATGTTTTTGGCGTTTTACAATGCGAGGAATTTTAATGCTCGAATAAAAATAAAGAGAATTATCTCCTTCTAAATATGATATATTGAATTTATTGGTTGTTCATTAAAAAAATTGAAAGTTCTTTCTTAAATATCCTATAACTTTGAGCTTTAAAATTGTCTGGTAAAAAGTTATAAAGCTTGCCAATCATAAAACTAAATGACCGTTCATATAATGTTGTTCTGTGAAAAGGAATTGTTATGGAATCTTTTCTTCTAATATTAATATTATGTATATCTTCCCTAAAAGTAATTCGATCAGATAAATAAGTAGGAGATTTTGATTTTAATACTTGATGATAAAAGCATAGAGTTTTATGTTTTAATCAATTTTCCATGTTTAACCAATTTAAGTCCCTAAGTTTGTGAGAAATGTGATTTCTTCTGCTTATTCCAAACACATACCTTATGCAAGAATTCTGCATACGTTGAATTCTGTTTTTTGTTACCACGTCCAAACACGGATAATAAACTGCTGCACAGTAAGAAAAATTTGATATCACCAAGCTTTCACATAGCATTTTTTTTTTACTTTAACGGATAAACAGTTTTTATGTGGAAATAACATTTTTAAAGATGTATATGCACGTTGTATGTATTTGGAAATCTGCATTTTAAATCTCAGTATTTGATCAAAGCATAAACCCAGTGTAATGGATAAATTAGGCCATAAGTTAATTACCTTTAATACAATACTTAAGTTTAGCAATGTCCGACACAGCATTTCATTGATTGCAATAATATGTTATTAAGTAGGTTAACTAGGTATATTTTAGTATTATTGATTATGTTGAATTTTGTTATATAGTTTGTAAGTTATAATAATAAAAACCATTCGAATGAAACCAGTCTTTGAATTAACAACTATCTTAAACCTCAAGTGACTACACCAGATTTACTGCGCTTTGAACAATTGGTAACTGAACATTTTCGATGGACAAATTAAAATCTAAATTCCCTGTTAAATTATTTATAATTGTTTTGTTACCAAACAGCAGTACCTTTGATTTTCCAGGGTTTAAAAACAAGGAATGCTTTTTTGAAATTTCGTCTATAGAATTAAGGTCTATTGAGATTTTTTGCATAGCTTCCTCTACCTTATTACTTTCGAATAAAAGGTACAGCTGGGTGTCATCAGCATACATGTGATGGTTGCAGTACGTTATGCAATTAGGAAAATTACTTCTGTAGATGGTAAACAAAAGAGGTCCTAAAATTGATCCCTGTGGCACTCCCATTTTAATGACTTTACTTAATGATAAACATTCAATTCAATTCAATTTTGACTCTTTGTATTCGGTTAATTAGATAATTATTTATTAAATTGATAGCATTACCACCCAAACCTATAAAATGAAGAATTGAAAGAAGCAACTTATGATTAATCGTATCAAAAGCCTTCGTAAAGTCTAACAATACTAATGCTGTTGTTTTATGAGAATCACAAGCTAAAAAACATCATCTAATACATTGACCAGAGCTGAAGTACAACTATACCCTTCTCGAAAACCAGATTGATACTTGGGAAAAACCTTATTTTTTTTAAATGACTTTTTCCAACTCTTTTGATAACGCTGGCAAAATACTCACTGGCCGTAAATCCTTAAGTTCTTTCGGTTCGGAAATTTTAGGAAGCGGCATAACATTAGCCTCTTTCCATTGAACAGGTATCACATTTTCTAATAAACATGTATTTATTATATTTGTCACATAAGGTAAAATAGTTGGACAGGAATATTTAACCATATTTATATTTATTTCATCAAAACCAACTGCGTTACTTTTTATTTTATTTATAGTTTCTAATATTTCAGTTTGACTTACCAAGGAAAAAGAAAATTCGGCAGAAATATTTTGAAAAGTATTTCCCAGGTAATAATTAATTAGGTCATCATTATTTACATTAGATACTGGTACGCTATTTATAAAAAAGTTATTAATTAAATTAACATATCTTAAGTGATCAGGTAGAATATTATTTTTGTTAGATTTAATATTAAGATTTTTTAGTTCCTTCCACAGCACTTTCGGATTTTTATTATTTAGTTTAAAGTTAAAATATGCTCGCTTTTTATTTCTTAATGCAATAGCAGTAAAATTTCTTAATTGTTTAAAATACTCCCAGTCCGATCCCAACTTTGTTTTCTTAAACTTAATTTTAGCTTTGTCTCGTAATTTAATTAAAAACTTAATATTATCTGTTAACCATAGCTTATATGGTTTGTTAATTTCGATTGTTTTATATGGGGCATGAAAATTAAATAAATTTATAAGATGATGATTTAAAAAATCAACTTTATCATCAACATTATCCAGATATAATATATTATGCAGTGGCAACTGTTCCAGATCCTTAGTAAAGTTTGGAAAATTAATTTTACTAAAATTTCTAAATGTTTTTTTAAATGGCACTGTATTGGAAGTACAATTTGTCGTACAATACACCAAATCATGGTCTGAAACTTCTATACTTAAATTTCCGAAACTTCTCACTAACGAAATGTCAGAAACAAGAATTAAATCTATTAATGTTTCCGTTTTTTCAGTGATACGCGATAAAACCAATTTGCTTTTATTTTTAAAAATTTCATTCTTATTCTTATATCGACAAAATCTTACGAACACATGTGATTCTTTTCCTTCTTTTGCCTTTAACCTATAGCAAAACTCAATATCAATAGGATTTATCTGTATTCCAAGTCTTTCATCAAATAAGGTACATAATTTTTCATCCAGCTTTTTACCATTTTGTTTGGGTAATCCATAAATTGTCATGTTATTTTTACGAGTAAATTGTTCTTGCTGTTCAATAATTTTACTCATATCTTTGACTTGCTTATCCAATGCTTCGACCTTCTCTTTATACACCTTGATTTCATTTTCAAGGCTGTTTACCATACGTACTGCAATTTTATCAGCCAAATTTGATAGAAAATCTTCTGAATTAAAAATCTTCTCCATTACTGACTGAAAATACTGTTCATCATCATCACCTGTTTTTCCAGATCTTAATGATCTAGCCATTTTAAAACAATTTATAGAGGTTATCTTAAGTAAAATTAAATTTAAAACTGAAGCGAGCTAATTCACGTCTACTCCTTAGTACTACACATACCGGTATCGGTATGTGTAGTACTATATGTAGATCTATGTGTATATCGCGAAACTGATGATTTTTTTCATCGTCGAAATAGTATTCCTTATTTGCTTGACTTTTGACGTTTTTGCGAGTGAATTATTGAGCGCATGATTGAAGCACGGGCACCTTTTGGCATTTGTGCAACATTTAATGATTTCTTGAACAGCACCTTTAATATCGGATGCCATGACAGAACAATTATCTGTGCCAATCCCAACGCAATTTTCTAAGGGGAGCTTAAATTTTTGAAGAAGATCAATTACGGAATGGCCTAACGCAATACCAGTTAACCGTTTTTGATTATTATCAACATCATCTTCACGGATAGAATCATACGCATCTACAAATGTTAAAAAGTCCTCCCTGATTTTGTCTTCGTCAATGAAACGCAACTAAGGCTAAGTTGCTCAATGTGAGCTGCATCGCTAGTTTCATCAAATATTACAGAATAAAATATTGCCCTCTTAACCCTGCCAATCAATTTATCTGGTATTTCTTCTTTACAACAATCAATGAGATCATTTTGTGTTGTTTTACTAATATAAGTTGCTGTGGATTATGCGGTTTCTAAATGTTTCTCCAATGTTTTATCTCCTGCAGCAACGCGAAAGCGTAAAAGGGGGTTTAAAGTTTCCGTCATTTGCTATTGAATTCTGAACCTTCAACACGCCATCATCTCTATGTCCTCTTAATGCAATATTTTGTCTTCCACAAAGAATGATCGTCTCAATAATGGGGCGCAATCTGTTCCCGTTTTCTAGAACCTGAGTCATGCGTTGAGAATAAACTTGATTTATGACTTCTAAGGCAGGGTTTTCATAAGTTTTTATAAAATCTTCGCAGGCTTTAATTGCGTTTTGGTGATATTTTCTGGAAGCGTGTAGTGTAAGCGCACCATCGTTACCGGACAGTTTTGCAAATGCAGTGGCGATTTGACCAATGTATTTACTAGAGTATTTGACTGACAGCCACCTGTATCACTAGCAAACAAAACGCAATATTTACAATAAAGGAATAAAAAGGAAATGTATAGTCTTCGGGTGGTTGCCATGGCTTTTGAAGCAAATTAAATTTAGTAAAGTCATCCAATTGAACAGTATTTCCTACAAATGTGCCAATATCATACGCGTTGAATACTTGAACATGGGCCTTGGAAACATTTGCATTCGATGTTGATGTTATCGATGTGGAAATAAGAGGCAAGGAAGACGTTGAAGTAGCCTTTTCGTTTTCTATCACTTTTTTCGTGGAATTTGAGCTACCAGGATTGGTATGGGCATCATTATTTTCTATGGCATCATTTGTGTCAAGAAAGTTTGTCGTAGATGAATTGGCATCAATTTTGAAAAATAGCTTTCAATCGGTCTAGTAGCCGGTCGTTTTTCAGGGAGGTGTTTTTCCTTAAAATCAAATCAATATAAATTATGTTTAAGAAGTAGACCATTTTAAAACAAACATCTTAAATTTAAAAAAAAAAGTTAAATACACTTACCATGATCCGAAATGTCTTAAACTTGTAACCTCAACTCGAGGGCTATGGCTAACGGCAGCTTTACAGTGGTGAGATGGGTCGATGGGCTAATGTTGTTCCTCAATACTTACGTGCATAATTCCAAAAGAAAACAACAAAATAAAAATGGGCGCCAGTGTCTTATTTGGGCCAGTTGGTAAAATCCCTATAAGCCAGACACAAACTTAATGGGCATAAGGGCAATTAAAAAAAAGTCAAGTTTAAAAATTATTAAGTATAATAAAATTTGGTTATCAGCGTTGTTAAGGTGATTTCATTTAAAAATGATTATTAGGACATTTAATTATGTATTGGTGCACCCTTATATGGCCATATATGGTTTACAAAGAACCAAATTCGATATGACTAAATTTAACATGAGCAAAACTTTACTGGTAATTTAAATAAAACTTTAGTTACGATAAATAAAGGTTGAAGACCAAGTTAAAATTTCCTTAATTTAAAAATACACAAAAGTTAAACGGAGTGTAGTGAACACTGTATTTCTTGAAACATTACTATAACTTAAAAGTGGTTACGACCTGATTAGCTTGAGCTCTGGTGGATCCCGGAGAATTAGAAATCCTACGTAGTGGTTCTCTTGTTGACTCAAAAGTTGGTTTTGACGCCAAAACAGTCAAGGAAAACTCCCATAAAAACTGGTTGAACGAATTTTCCCGATGTAAAATGGTACAGGATTGACTTTAATATCCTTACTTAAAATCTGTACTTAAAATCCGTACTTAAAACCCTAAAATAACATAAAGATGCCTCAGCATTCAACAACTACATTCTTCCAGACTTACCCTTGTTCTAAGGAGTTTTTTTAACCAATAACGTCACGACCGCATGGAGACTAGGTCAACAAAAAATATATTGGATTCAACAACCACCTAAAATGGAGATCCGCGTGGGTAAAAAAAATTAGGTTCAGCAACAAGTTAATAACTCACCCTGAGCTCATCGTACCACACGAAAATTGCTTTAGTCAGAAATATTACAATTAGATTGAGAGATTAACCACGTATTATTGGAACTTTTCCATAATTTAAGCACATACTTAACTCTCATCTAATCGCTTCAACGACCAAATCGAAAAGGAAAACGTAAACCTTATTAAGTGCGTAGAAGATTATTTAAACAAAAAAATACAATGTTGCCAAGATGTTGTTAATGTTGTCGAGAAGACTAAAAACAAATGAGTGTTCTGGGTTGCATACTATCAAAACCAGGTAATAAACAAAATAATAAAAATAATTAAATTCTTTTAGAAAGAGGCAACTAAACAAATATCCTTATTAAAAATATACTTAACAATTAGTCAAACAAAAAATAAACCACTTAACAGTTCACATCTATACCGTTATAGATGTACAAAAACTAATAAAATAAAATCAATGGGTAACTGTCAAAATGACGGTTACAAACTACTTTCGAAGTTTTATGTACAACAAGCTTCCATTACAATACTGCCTTGAATACAACTAAAGAGCTACGTTCATACGTAGCTATTGTTACAGGAATTGTTAAGAAAATTCTGAAAGCAACTTATTAGCTGGAGTAATTCTAGAATACCTAATACTTAAAATAACGTCAATATTAACAAACTAAATAACTAACAACTAATAACACAAATCCAAAAATCTCTAAAACGCAAATACCGCTTACGGAATACATACAGCTAGTGAGACTGCGCGCAGAGTTTGCGCTGTTGATGGAGGCGCCATCTCAGACTTTAGACAAAAAGGCGCGAAATAGGCGCGAAGCCTTAATTCAAATTGTCACATTGTTGTGGCTCACGTATCGACAACATTTTTTAATACATCAACTTGAGTGCGCTTGTGTAAACAAGATTAAAAAAGGGACTGATTTAAAATAGAAAGCCATGCAATTCTCTCAAATTGAACGATTCAATATTTTTTTTATGTATATTTTTATAATTTGATATTAATTTAAAAAGTTATGTTCAATTTCAACTTAATAACTTACTTCCGGGGGGGGGGCGATCGCCGCCATCGCCCCCCCTTGGATCCGCCAATGCGGTCACATGGGACCTTAGACTCTTACTCATCAAGATAATAATGGAGTTTGAATTAATTACTTTTCAATTTTCATAGCCAGTGGGGCCCGGTTATTTAAAATTTATAGGGAATAATATTGGACATAAGAAAGGTCACAAAATTATTAGACTGTTACTTTTTTTTTAATTTACTTTTTGCCCTTCTTTTGAGGCCCTGGGGCCCGGTAAAAAATTGGAGTACGGACGTGTTTTTTGTGGCTAATAATGGAAGGTAAGAATACAACTTTTTAATGGTAAGGTGTTTTGAAAATCGTAAAAAAGTTTTTTCGGCCCAACCTACTGTACATTTTCTGCATAAGGAATTACTGAAAGAAAAAATAGATCATAGTTATAAAGTGGAATAGCCCTAGCTAGACTTCGCCTCGTTAAATAAAGACGTTTTATTATTATTATTATAATTATTATAAAAAGCGTTAGTTTACAAAATTAGAGCAGTACAAATGACAAAAATTTGCGCTTAGATGCTAGGTTGTTAGTAATAGCAGTGCGTGTTAGATAACAAAACATCCAGTAAATTTAAAAATGTACAAAAATCCGGCGTTAGTGCCAAGCTTACGTTAGTAAAAGCAGTGAGTAATCGAAAAATAAAGTATAGATAAGATATAAAACACTATGGTTAAGTGGAAGAACAATCTCTGATTTAACTTCGCCTTTTTGATGTTAGTGTATGCTTATATCAAATAAAGTCGTTTATTATTATTATTAATATTATTATTATTATGCAGAAAACATAGCATACAATCATAGTATATAAAAAGAAAAAGAATATGATCAGGCAATAGCATACAATAAAGTCAAAGCGTATAAATAGAATAAAAGCAAACAAAACAAATGCGTGCAAGCAGAATAAAGCAATAGCATACAATAAAGTAAAAGCGTATAAGTAGAATAAAAGCAAACAAAACAAAAGCGTGCAAGCAAAATATAGCATAAGTTCATTATTTAAAAGCAAAAGTAATAGACAATTGTGCCTTTTTGCGTTTATAACCATGTATAGTTAAGTAAATACTTACCGTGTGTACATGTCCGTAATTTTGTGAGTAACAAATATAGAAGAATTAACATTAGTAAGATAAAAATTGTATATACAAAAGGACTAGCAGGAGTTAGGTGTAAGAGCGGGATTTGCAGTGTTACAGGATGGACAGGATGTCTGCAGATTGGAGGATTGCCTAACCTTCTTCTGTCATCTGGATCGAAATCTACGCAAGCAGCCGCCAAATAATTGTTGTTGGTTGCACATTTCTCCAAAATTGCTTTTGATCTGTCAATGAGGTAATTCCTCATGGGATCCAGTTTCGCACGGCACGGCACATTCCTCAGGAATCTGTTTTGAACGACTTCGAGCTTAGATATATGGGTTTTTGCGCCGTTAGGGCTGCTGCAGCATAGGAGATGGCTGGGCGTATTAGCGATGTCCAAATTAGTTTCCTATTTTTAAGTTAAGCCAACTGTTTGCGTGAGTGGCTGAGTTGATGGTTTTGAGTTTTCTTAGGGCTTTGGCTCTTATGGCATCAATGTGTGGGCCCCAGGTTAGTTTTTTGTCAATAGTTACTCCCAGATATTTGACTTGATTAGCCCAATGGATGTTTATTCCTTCATAGTTTAGGTTGGTTTGGAGGGTGCGACCGCCTTTAGAGATAATGATTGCTTGTGTTTTAGCGGGGTTCACTTTTATCCTCCATCTTTCTGCCCATTCCTCGAACCTAGAAAGGAGTATAATCTGCATACAAGGCATAGTTAACCTGTTGGAGGAATGAGATGTCCGACATATAAATGTTAAATAATATCGGACCCAATACTGAGCCCTGTGGTACTCCCGCTCTAATCTTTTTTTACTCAGATGCGCAACCTGGACCTTGACCTTGAATTCTCTGCGGTGGAGGTATGATTGAGTTAATTTGATAAGGTCGGTCTTAATTCCTGCTTCGGACATTTTGGCAATGAGGGCCTTAAGCCTGTTTCCAGCTGTTTGGGAAGTAAGCTAGCTTCAGCATACTGTTTATTATGTCTTTCAGTGTCGTCAGAATGCGCTCGGGTAGGAGTTTGAGGGCTTTGTTGGGGATGCCTTCTGGGTCAGATGCCGTTCTTGGCTTCAGTGATGAGATGATTGATTTAACTTCGTCAGAAGTGGTCGGTCTGATATCCTGCAGAACTGGAGTTTTCTGAATTCGTCTGAGTTGCTCTTACTTCGTTGTCTTCGTCTTCAAAGTCGTAGCCAGGTGGATTTGGAGATAATTGGGCTTCTAAGAGTATCCGCAAACAACTAAGCTTTATCTTGTCCGTTGGGGCCGTGTTGTGGGTGGACGGGTTTTTTCGTTTGGGGACCCAGGTCTTTTATGGTTCTCCAAAAATCACGAGATCCGACTTCCAAGGAGCCAAGTTTTTTTTCCATATGCGTTTGCCACTCTTGAGTGCCAATCCGGGTTCTTTGCATTTAAATCGCCTCCCATGATAGGTATATCATCATTCATTACCGTTTTGTAATATAGCACAGTAGTAGGCTGCACAGAGTTTTATTGTGGGTTTCCACGATATTTGTGTTGACATCCAGTGTTCTGCAGTGATCTATGTTGTGTTTTATATATATGGCAACTCCACCTCCTTGGTTATGCAGTCTGGAGACTGAGTAGCCTCTGAAGCCAGCAATCTTGGGAGTAACACCTGCTTGGAAACTTGTTTCACTTATCAGCAGTACGTCCGCTTTTTCTTCTTGAGCTCGAAGTTTAAGTTCCTGTTTCTTTGGCATGAGGCTATTTGCATTCCAAGATATAATCTTCAAAAAATTTGGCTTGGGACGTATATAAAAATAAAACCTGCTTTAAATTTTACACCCTGAACAAAATAACGGAAAAAATGTTAAGGTAATATTAAAGGGATTATTCAAGGATGCTATTTTATTTTAATAGATTTTGGATGTTCTAGAATAGTAAACAATGTTATTATATTGTTTGGCTTTTGTGATTTTTAAAGAATAAATATAGGTAGGTTTTAAGAAATCTTTGATAATAGTGTGTATTTGAACAATAAAATACTTTTATGAGGTTAAAATAAAAATTAGCAGGTATTCTGCATTCAATAATACAAATATTTTTGAAATTTTTTTATGAAATAATAATTAACATATGCATACCTGATCAACGAATCATAACTCGTCTGTGGATTTTTTAATATAAAAAACTTTAATTACCAAATATCAGTCGAGTTTAAAAATTAGAAGCCCAAGCATATTCAAGTATACCTATGAACAAGACGACATTGAAATTGTTTAATTTAAAAAGTGAGTATATATTTGTTTAAATAATTTTAAATTATTTGCTATATTTACATATATTTTAATATATATTCAAATTAAAACATATACATATATTTTTATAACATTATTTTTATTTATTTTAGTAAAAGATAAAATAGGAGACCGCACAAACACTGGATTTGAGAAATATGCGAAAATTGTAGAATATGAGAACAAGCATTTATTAAAAGAAGTAAGGTTACCTCTTTTACAGCCGCTTCTACATTATTGGAATAAACCCTTATAATGATTTTTTAATTACATTAAAGTTATGTAAACAAAGCAAAGAATATGATGCACTTACCTTCGGCAATAGTGCATTTAATGAAGTTATTCACAATATACCAGATATTTTGGATAGCAATTACAAGCGAGATGAATATGATGTCTCAACCCATTGAATTGCAATTTTAGAAAACAATAGGACCTTGGCAGGGGCGTAGCGAGCCCCCCATGACTGGGGGGGGGTGAAACACTCAAAATTGCCGACTGATAATTTATAATTTGCTGACTTGTTTACTGACTAACTAGATATAATTTTTAAAATTTGGGTAATTTTGAAAATCAATAAATAAAATTAACTTTTATTTCCTATTTATTTTAAAAATATTTTGCGTGGGTGTGTAATATAACATATCTCCTACTTGTTTTTAATTATGAAAAGTATTAAAATTATTATAACTTAAGGTATATTTTTATGTTTGAAATCGACGAAGTTTTAGTTTAGACCATCTTTTTAATAGTTTTTCCAAATCAATTTTATCCACTATATCCTTTTCAGAATATAATATCATAAGTGAATTAAATTAAATTAAAAATACAAGGTTTAAGAATATTTTTTTATAAATTAAAAAAATGATTTTAAATTAATTTTTTTAAACACAGAATAATATTGTAAAAGAATAATAAGTATTTTTAAAAACAATAGTAAAATATTTAAATATTAATATTGGCAATATTGCTATTTTTTTTTTACTTTGAAAATAGGTTATGGGATATATGCATTAAAATCAAAATAAAATAAAAACAGTTAAGATTTAAGTATTAAAGAGAAACGCAGCATCTTTGATGTCTGGTAAATGTTTTTTAGTATATATTTATATACAGTGCTTGCAAATCCAAGTCCGACCGGTTTGAGAAGGACGCGTGAAAATAAAAAGGATAGAACGCCAAACAGAAGGCGCTTACAATACGCACGCCTGACGTTCTGACCAATCAAATTCTGTTTGGCATTCTATCCTTATTCTTTTCACGCGGGTATTGAACAACCATCCTTCCCAACGCGGTCGGACTTGGATTTGCAAGCACTGTATAGAAAATTTAACATAAAACCTAAATGGCAGACACGAGGAAATGACTTAGGCTAGGTATTATTTTTCAGAATATAATATCATAAGTGAATTAAATTAAATTAAAAATACAAGGTTTAAGAATATTTTTTTATAAATTAAAAAAATGATTTTAAATTAATTTTTTGAAACACAGAATAATATTGTAAAAGAATAATATTTTTAAAAACAATAGTAAAACATTTAAATATTAATACTGGCAATATTGCTATTTTTTTTACTTTGAAAATAGGTTATGGGATATATGCATTAAAATCAAAATAAAATAAAAACAGTTAAGTTTTAATTATTATAGAGAAACGCAGCGTCTTTGGCGTCTGGTAAATGTTTTTTTAGTATATATATATATATATATATAGAAAATTTAACATAAAACCTAAATGGCAGACACGAGAAAATGACTTAGGCTAGGTATAATTTTTTACAATTTTAAAAATTATTTGTTGCAAAAAGCATTATTTTTTTCTTATTTAGGGGTCACAAATAAACAATTAAAAAAATAAGATAAAGACGAGCAAATAACTTAAGTTATTAAATGTCAACGAAATTAACCTCACTTTTCCCTAATTTATAATAAAGCTAACTTCAGCCCGTGACTAAAATGCCCAAAAGTCACTATTGCTAACTTCAGACCGTGACTAAAACGCCATAAAGTCACAGCTCTTCAATGTAGGAGTAGATAAATACTTTTAACAGGTATGTACTTACACGTTAAAAAGGTTTATATATTTTTATTTATAGATAATAAGTTGTTAGTGTTAACACTGCACTTTTTTGAAATGAAAAATTGACATATCAGTTTAAGTCTTACCGACTGATGTTAATTAGTTGTTTTGAAGATTTTTTAGCGGTTCGGTGTTTAATTTGCTAATAGATGGCGCTACGTAATAATGAAAGATAGAGTCCCTATTATTTTAGGGACTCTATTAAAAGATAACTAATTAAATATATTCTTTTTGTGAAATTTACAATGTGAATTATAACAGTTAAGCGAAAACTATAATTTTTTATTATTTTTTAAAATGTTTTTTTAAGAAATTTTGCCGACTAAAAAGCAAAATGGTCGAAAATGCCGACTAAACAAAAGAGAGGGGGGGGTGACACCCCCCACGCCCCCCCCCTCGCTACGCTCCTGGACCTTGGTGAAAATTATGGAAAAATCATCAGAAAAATACGATATTTTTCAAAATCTACTCAAAATAAGATTATTTCATGAATATATGACCGAAGAATTTTACAAGATATTGTAGTCGAAATGTTACGTGATAAGAAGCACTATTATGATAATAATATGTAGTATATGGTAATGACATGATTTGGTTAGTACTACTGAATAAATTTGATTATTTTGTATATAGTAATATAGGTCGTAAGTTGAATGTTATTTTATTAAAATTTATATTTTGCTTTTTCTATAGTAGGTAGAAAAAAAGGTGTAAAAGATAAAAGGTATTAAAATCTTTAATTATTTAAAAGAAAAATGATTATAATATTAATTATAAAAATCTAAATATGCAAAAAACACAAATATATAATTTAACCTAAAAATATTTTTTTATTAAAATAATTATAATACAATTATATATAATTGTTTTTAATTAAAATATTTACAATTACAATTATACAATAAAAATAATAAACACAAATATAATTTAACCCAAAAATATTTTTTTTTAATTTAAATAATTATAATAAAATTAGGTATACAATAATAATAATCTACCCAAAATACATTTTAAATTATACAATTATAGTAATAATACAAAATATCCAAATTTCTGCTTCGTTTAATTGCCTTCTGTCTCATTTTCCACACACGCGGTACATATGGCATTTATGCGATGACACCATGTCGAAGAGGAGACGCCTGGTACAAAAATTGCACCAGTTCTTGAAGTGCAGGAACAAGTCCATGATCTTATCCATAGGAATATAATTTTTGTCCAGGCACTCTCGATATATGCACAGATCGCATATGAATTGTGGTAAAATTTGTCTATTATACAATATTCGTTTGCATGTAATAATAATCTTAGAATGTTTTCAATAACATCACGATCGGTTTTATAGCCCCAAAAGCGTCTTAAAGCTTCTTCACCCCCAATAGCCGGTTATGTGTCCAAATATATGCCTTAATATAACCAAATTGTCTAAATCAAAGCTCATTGCCAGCCAAACATACGATTTAAAAACACTTTTTCAATCAGTGTTTGGGTTAGCCTCTACCACTTCCCTAACAGTAAGGTTTTTATTTGCCACTGCCCTACTCATGGGTTTTAAACTTTTTGGTTGATGCACGTTGTCTATCACTAAGCTATATTTCCTCGTTTTTTCGATCAAATCTCTCCAGCTCTATCCATAATAGTAAATAAATTTTAAAAATAAAGCTAAAGTAAAGAAAAGCTTAAAATAATTTATTTATCAGACGTAAAGTAATAAAACCTTTTTTGCTGGGTATAGACATTTATTTTAATCTAAACATTGGTCGAAGACTGTCCGGCAAAACTCTACGTCTACTACTACAATATTTGTGATTTTTAAATTGAACAGTGCAGTGTAATGGCGTCTCAACATTTCGACAATATCATTTTTTAGAACGAATACGAAAATTTAATTCCACGCTTTAAATTAACCGAAAGAAGAATGATATTTAAAGACTCGCTTGATGGCTTGCGGTAAGTAATTCGATTTTATTTTCAATAATTATTTTTTTAATTTAAAATATTTTTTAAGCACAATTTGTGATTTCGTTTTAAATTATATTTTCAATAACTTATATTTAATAATTTTTATTATTGTTTAATTTATAATAAAATATTTTATTTTTTTTAGGCCGGGTTAGATTCTTTGATTACCCATGGTATGCGTGGAGTCGACGAAAGTTGTAAATGTGTTCACGAACGCAGAGTTTTCGGACAAACCATTGGCGATATCTATAAGAAATATAAGTCAAATGAATATAGCCGTCATTCTTGATACTCTGGGGTTGGTGATACAGAGCAACTCCAGTTCCTTCACCAATAACTAGCTTTCGACAGGGTGCAACTTTTAACAGGCCATGGAAGAAGCATCTCACAGGGAGTTCTGCCAGATAAAATACGGTAT